TCTTCTGGTGCAAATCTATTCTAAAGTCACATCAGTGATTGCCGCGTGGTTTAGAAACTCCCACGCCAACTTTAAACTAGGTAGGTTGGGTCCTGCCACCCATTTGGTTACAGGACCACAGCACTCAGCATGGTCTCATTTTCCCAGCAGCAGGGTAGACAGACATACCCTGAAACCTTTCTTGCCAGTACAGCAGTTTGATTTTGATAGCTCCATTGTGTGTTCAGTTGCCTGCCTATTAAGACTGACTGGCAGAAATAGCTCATTTTAAACATATATTGGGAAATATTAATTAATTTCAAAGGAAAAAATGAGTGGTCCCACTGGAAACCTAATTCTGAGTTATGCTCATCCAATCCAAGGGCGGGTGTGTGCCATGTGCTGTGTATTCAACCCAAACTGTGTAAATGAGCTGAAATGAGTGCATGCGTGCAATCTTACAGATCAGGAATGCAGCATATGGAGGTTACTTTTATTAGCTTTCTGATATGTAACTTTATAGAGTTTAACACTTTGAAGCTTTTCCCCAGAAACTTTTTAACTGACTTTTTCATGGACTCTCACGACTCAGGAAGCTAGGGCTTTATGGAAAATATCAAATAGCGCAAGACTCGTGAAAACAAATCGTAAGAGCTGACAACTCTTTATCAATATCTTCTGGTGAAGCAAACACAGTCATCCAGTTATAATTGAGCCAGAGCTATATACCTACCTATCTAGATAGAGGGTCACTACTACTGCCTTTTACCATCGTACATTGAGCATCTTCCTTTTGAAGCCAATAGGCAGTAGAGAAATTGCTAGTGAACTTCCTGGTGTCTCTGGTATTTCTATTCTTTGGGGTATTCTTTGATTTGTTAGACTCTTGCGTTTCTCCTGCATGTAGGCTGACTTGTTTCAGGGTTGTGGGTCTGTTTGTTTTGAGAAGGTGATTGGTTCAAGGTATTTGGGTAAAAAAGAGACGAATATCATTCTTATTATTAGTGTCATAGGTATGGAAAATCCCATGGAGAGAAACTTGTCTCGCTGTTCCACGGTGCGATGATTTGCAATGGCAAAGTACTACACATGTTTGAAAATCAAGGTACTTTATTTAAGTGCCTAACTTACGTACCTTTTTAAAAATCATGGCCTGCGCTATTGAAGTTCAAGTCTTGATCACTCAAGAGTTAAGAATCATTCATTCTTGTTCAAACATATTAATTTTTGCTCATGACTCTTATTGACATGCCTTTGCTAAGTCACTCAGCACATGACCTAAATTAAACACAAGCAGCCCATAGCATTAGCAGTTCAGAAAAACTGCTTGCATTAGGCACGATAGCTGCCATCTGTAATGTCTCAAACTATCCTGAGAAAAATTTACCCAGGGGTGATCTATGATTTAATCTAATGGTGGAATGAAATGGGCCAGAGTGATGCTGCTTGCCATCAAGTGGGTCTGCCATGAATAACCTCATTGCTTGCCTTGCTGCTCTTCACAGTGTCCTGAACAGCAGCGATGAGGCTGACTGGTATCATCTCAAATTCACTCTGCTTCTGCTTGCTGTGTGCAGACTCAGAAAGACATAATTGAAATCAGTTTGGTTTCACTCCACATTTGGATGGCTGTCTCTGCAAGTGCACAAGCCAGAACTTAATTCTGAAAAATAAAAGATTAAATTCTACAGAAACTGATAGATTAGCCCCCCTTTTCCTCCCATCACCAAACCTCCTTTGGCTGTTGGTGAATACATTATTCAAGCCTTGTTGCTGCTATAATTGCTATTCATCCGTCACTTCATCTGTACTGTTTATTCTACAGTTTACAGAATAACGATTGTGTCACTTCCCTAAATTTCACAATAATTTGTTCTATTGCAGCTTGAAACTTTTATCTGAGGAAAGCACAAGTTATGCCAACCCATCCCTTAGACTTTCTGTTCTAATCACTGAGGCCTTGTCTGCACAGGAGGGTAGATGCTCCACTGATAATCAGCTGAGTGGCTTTGGGTTTGTTCAATCATCTGGCAGGTTTGGGTGTAGTTCCTTTAGGGGACAGGTGTAAAAATGGTAGCTGGCCTGTTCCGGGGGTTTCCGTGATTGGTAGCAACTGTGTGAAGGTGTACTGTTACTGCTGTTGGGGAAGACCCTAAAATTCAGGTGTAGATGCAGTCCAAAATTTGAAGTAATGCTATGAAGTCAGTGAAGCACCAACATATTGCTATAAAGGCTGAGTCAACAAAATCAGCGTGTCATTCTGAAATCACTTGCACGTCTTTCATAGCACAAAGGTTACAAAAAATCATCAGACTCAGTTCACTTGGATCCTAAAAATATTTTTATTTATAGACGATCTTACTGCCTGTGTCATGTTGTGGGTAAGCATGGTACTTGATTAACAGTCTCAGTCCTCTAGGTTCGTTCTTTAATTATCACCAGTTGAAAGGGTTTCTTTTTTTGCCTTACCTAATTTAGGTGAAGACTGGCTGTCCTGCTATTGCACGCTAATGCAAACAGCAGTATAGTCTGATGCTCCCTCAAATTACTTTAATTGAACAGCATTGATTGAACATGCCAGAAGAAAGCCTTCCTATCATTTGGATCAATTGGCATGGATATTTTTTGCATAGTTTATCACTAATAACAACTTCCAAGGAAGCAGTTAGCCTCCGTTACTATCTCAGTTCCCTCCTTCCCTCCCCCCAACACTCTCCAAGGAAGTAACACCCTTCTCTCATTTCAAAAAATAAATGAATAAAAATAGATTGCATTAGTGACCCACCAGTTTATCAGGGATTATTTTTAACTGCAACAAGTGTCAGAGCTTTAAATTTTCTAAAAATCCTGTACTGGGGGGAGATATTGAGTAATTTTCCTCACTGCTTTGCATAATACTTCTGTCATGGTCTGTGTGTGAGGTTTAGCCACATCATAAAGCATAGCTGAACTAATGTCCTTCAAATAGTAACTTATCAGAGATACACGGGGATTCTTGCCATTGCTATAAAAAGACATTTGGCAATAAGCAGTTTGTCATATTAGAAGCTCAGCCATTTACTTGGATATAGGATGCGCACAGTTCACTGGAAAACTGGTGCAGCACCTAGCTCTGTAAATATAATAGATTATTAATACTGGGCATCATAAAGGATTAAGGCAACTCATTACCATGAACCTCCTATATCACTATAAAGCAGTCATTATTAAGAGAGCGAGTGGTGGATATTGTTTCATATTATTGTTGGCTATTTCATCCACAGATCTCAAAACTCCTTGCATTTGTTAATTTAAGTCTAACAAAGGTTAGGCTGTAAATGCCACAGGTAATTATACCCATTTCACAGGGATGCAGCCCCAGAATGACAATTTAGGAGCGCTCGGTGAATGAGTGACATGTTGTGAGTCTGGGTTCCTGATCTAGCCTCCATCTTCCATGCTGTAAATACTTCTTTTCAAAGCTGATGTGCAGATCTAAAATTCCAGTTTCCATATGTGTGAGGATGCAGTCTTGCAGTGGGGTGGAAGGATTTGACTCCTTTCTCTATGGCAACTTCTCCCTTGACTCTCCTGCTGACAGGTGGAGGGGACAGGTGTAGGGAGGTAGCATGGCTGGCAAAATTGGCACTAGCTTCATGCATGACTCCTTGTGGTTAGCTATATTCTTGTCCTGACTGGCTGAAAAGATTTTTGGATTGGTCACTGTTTGAGTCAAATTGATGTATTTTGGGGCTGGGAAGGATTTTTTTTTCCCTGCTTTGAATTAGCAGAATATCCATAGGGTATTTCATGTTCCCCAGTGCATGAAGGACTGTCATGGAGCTGGTTTAGAGTACTCGAGCATTGTGAATACCCAGCAGGTAAGGGAATTGGTTGCACTTTTGTCAAGACTCAGTGGACAGTGCTCTCTGCCAGCTACATGGGGTTTGTCAGTTCCTTGTGGACCATTTCTGGGGCGGAAATGGCTGTATTGTTGGGTTTAAAGCACTGTCAACAGTCTCAGCTGAGAAAACACAATATTGCTGACCTGTTCTTCCACCACTCCCTAGATCTTGGTTCCCTTTACCAGCTCTGTAGTCTGATAGCCGCCCTTCCTGGATTTCCACGATCACCAGCATAAGTTAGATAGCTGATTTCCCACGTTCTGTAGGAACCACAAGAGTTGGGCAGCTGAGTGAACTGTTGATTAACGTGCATTTACAGATGGACCTGGCCACGTCAAGGAGTTGTCAGGCACATGAACACCGGTACTAACAACTAACTCTTCTGATACAGATACATTTGAAGCATTAATCAAGTTTAACTAATGTAGAACTGCAGTACAGCTAAAAGTTTCCCTGTATTAATGATATTAGTATCCTATGATTGAACTCCGTAAATTTAGTCATTTATTTTCTGGAAGGTTTGTTACGGGGGACCTGTCTGGTGCTTGCCTAGCCGTGCTTACAAACAAAGCAAGTATCCCTGTGCCATTTTTTTTCACCCCGGTGTCTGAGTTGAGCCTATGATCTGATTCTGTAACACAATTCTGCCATAACTGGTCTGGTCAGATTATGAAAGGGAAAGGGAAATAGAAATGCTCGTAGGAAAAGTAGAATACAAATCAAGAAGTGAGGTCTGACTCTTAAGGGCGTTCCAGATCTGCACGGCAGTAGGCGGTGGACAAACTATGCAATGGATGTTTGATGACTATTTTGACCATTAGGAACAACTTTTATTTTTCCTGGGGAAATTCACTACTTAAGGTTAGCCAGTATAGGGATAGTTGTTTGCTTGGGGTTTTGTTCTTGGACGGACAGTAGTTTTGGAGTATCTATAAGGAGATAAAGATATTGAGGAACACTCATCACAAAGCCAAGAGGGGCTCCTGTGACAGACTTGGAGGGGTCTGCAGCTGTCATCCTCCAGGGCTTGCATGGCATATGGGGACCCCCAGACCAACAAAAGAAACTTTCAGTTGGCACAAGTGCCAGCGCTGAGTACGTAGGAATTGTTTCTGCATTCACCCTTCTTCATTTCAGAAAGAAGACACAGCTCCTCCAGCAAGCCACCTTTGACCCCTCCCTCTTCAGTGTTTTCCTTCATTTCATCCCTGTCTTCAAAAAGCAAAGGTAGCAGCGGAAGTGGGAGCAGTCGTTCATCTGGTGGAGGTACCAGTGCAGCAGCATCATCCAATTCCAAGTTGCTGAAATTGCCCAAAGACAAGCTGCCGATCAGTGGAAATAATAGATTAATGCATCCGGTACATCACAGCAAAGTTCCCCATGATAAAATGTAAGTCTTTTCTTTGGGGAAGAACATAAGTGGGATCATTTGCTCAGAAATTGTTGCAGGAGCAGCATTTTAGCAGTTTTGTGCTTCAGGTTTTGGAAGATGAAATGCGTTTTGATCTTCTAGATCCTTTTCAGCTGTTTCATGCAGGAAAACCTTTAGTTTTATTCATGGATAAACCCTGCCCAGATGTATCTGCAACTTTTGAATCAATGAACCTTTCTAATATAACCCGCAGTCCTCTGGGCTGGTCTCTGGTCTAATCCTGATTTCAGTGGGACTTTGCCAGGTCTAGGGGTTTGCTTGCATACATTGGGTTGCAGAATTGGCATTATAATTTTCAGCGGCCAGAACAGTGCCTCATTGCTGGGCTGCTCCGACTGCTGTGTGGCATGTCATTACCATGCCCTGCATGAGTGCCCACAGGCACACCACATCGCTGCACTCAGCTGCCTTCTTACACTAAAGTAGTGTCAACCGCATGGCGGGGTGTCATGGGTGGGTTAATTAGCACTACCAAGTGACAGTTCTGGTTCATGCTAATTAGTCAGCCTGCAATCTTGCCAAGATAGGGTTATACTGCTTCCAGTTCAGGATCCCAGCTCTGTGGAGCAGCTCAGCATGTCTGAGGCTGGAGCTGCTGGGTGTGGTAAGTCTGTGGCATAGACACGGCCTATAATTATCAAATACCCATTTCTCTGTGTAGTTAAACCGCGGAGTCTGAAGTTTGTGCTGAAGCTTTAGGAACATTATGGAGGAGGTGGTGTAAAGACTGCAGGAGAGTTACATTTTCATCAAATCACTGACATGAGAAAATAGCCACAAAAAATCAAATAGACAGGTTTTATCATGTAAACGTGGGGGGAAAAAAAGAGTAGAGCAGTTCACACAGCAGAACTGTGCACACAGCAGAATACATGTAATGTATTACATGTCTTTGATAGTTCCTAACCTTGTGCTGCTTCAGGTCTTTGCTAATGGGTTTTTTCCCCCTTAATTTTTCACAAATAACAGCATGACTCCATCTGTCAAAGTGGAAAAGATGCATCCAAAGATAGATGGTGCACTATTGAAAACTGCTGTTGGTCCAACTTGTTCTACTACTGTGAGTTCCTCAATAAAGACTGGCCTTAATTGTCCCTCAATACCAAAGCCACCCTTGCCTTCCCCTGGACAGATACTGAATGGTAAAGGTCTTCTCTCTGTGCCTCCATTTTTGGAAAAGAAACCAGAAGATAGTACAAATAATAGGAAATTTTTACATAAAAGATTGTCAGGTAATCTTTAAAATATTATTTACTGTACTGTTGTTTTTCTGCACACAAATAGACCTAGTCAGACATGCTGTGAATTAAAACAGGTAGTCTGTGGACTGAATGGCAGTGTCAAGAGTAAACCAGACAAACGGGGTTAGTTTTAAATGGTTTCCTTTGGCCCATCTCATTCTTAAAGGCACGCTACTAAGTTGAAATCTTGTTAATGTAAAATATATACTTAATGTATTACAGTTACTAAGTTTCTGCCTTCCCAGCCTAAGTTTTGGTAAATTGGAAATGAGCAAAGAAAAAAAGGGGGGGGGATATTATTAAGGGGGATAAGGGGAGTGTTAATTCAGTAATGGAGTACTACTAGTGTCACCGCATTGTGTGGGTTGCGTTTGTGAACTATTTTAGGTGCAGCTGTGTGTTATGATTAAAATCATGAGCAATGTTCTTTTTTTAAGAAAAATGTTTTTATAAAGTTCTGGTTTCACAGTAGTGAGGTATTTATGTACTTTTGACAGAGAGAGAATTTGATCCTGATATATACTGTGGAGTCATTGATGTGGAAACCAAGAAACCCTGTACAAGGTCTTTGACATGCAAGGTAGGACACCTTTCTCAGAACCAGATTAGGGTGTAACATGTATTAAATACAAGTTTCTGAACATCATGATGGAAAACCCACAGCTAAACTTCAGCAACAGCCACTGATAGTGACCCCCTGTGATAAGACAGCGAGAGAAAGTAGGAGGTCTCCATAATCAGTATATTTTCCAAAGATTTTAGTTCATGAAAGGCCATAAAAGATACTGTCACAAAAACTTGAAGGATTTGTATTGTTCAGAAGTTTGCCCTGAGCATCAGTCAAGAGGGTTTGACGAAGTTCCCACTGCATAGATTTATTGTTAGACTTGGCTCTCTTTTATTTTTTAAAAGACTGCTGTGTATACTTCATGTAAAGAGGTCAAGCCTCAATTTTACCTACATTGAAATTGTTTGGTGTTCTTGCTAGGGATTATTCTCTCTCTCATATACGTCAATTAACATCCCCCCCCCCCCCAAATTAATAATATAATCATTGCTTATTTGGGACCCAAGCAAAACAAACTTTTTCCCCAGGGAAAAGAAGGTTTATAGCAGACTTTAGGAAGGTAGGTTATATCAACCCAAATTATTCATCTCAGTGGACTAATAGTTTGGTTACTGCTTCTGGTCAGTGAGAACTGAATCTGCAGAAAAGTCTATAACTGAAGAGTCTGTTTGTAGGTCAAACTCTGTATGCAAAATTATCTTTAAAAGTTACAGTCTAATGCAGAATGTCCTTTAACACAAAACACAATTTTGAAAAAAACTCACTCTAAGAGACTAAAGAGATCTGTTAGTATTAGTTATCGTGTAGTATTTAGTGATCCTGCCCCGTGAGCTGCTCAGCAGATAAAACACCCACAGAGCCAAGGAAAATGTCATTGATATTAAGGACCGCAAGGAGTGAATCCGTGAAGTTAGTGCTTCCTCGCAATCACAAAGCACAATGTCATTGCTTTCCAATTAAACAAAAAGTTTCAGGTTTTTGAAAGAGTAAGCAAAAAGCTCCAAAGAAAGTAAGAGCAAGCCAGAGAAATGTCTTCCACTTGGTTTGCCCCCTCAAAAATAGTTTTTACAGCCTTGCAGTAATTTCTGAAAATATGAAAATAGTCCTTTTTTGCCTTTTTAAAAATAAAAACACTGAACCCTTGAGCTGTATGAAAGTAAGGCCTTCAGTATGACTGTCACATACAAGGTAAATGCAGTCCTTCACGTATTCTCCTTCACTTATATTTCATTTCATAGAGCATTTTAGGATTTTTCCAAGGAATAGAAAAGCTGACATACCACCTCTCCCTCTGAATTTTGTGACTTTGATAAGGTTCTGTCTAACTGAAATTCCTGCTAGATGTCTTTGTGGATTTAATAACTTATTTCAATATAGCAACCTTCTAGCATTATGTTAGTTTATATAATGATAATAAGTTTTCCCATTTATTATTTTTAGCACCCTTTACTAAAAGTCCTATTTTATACTTTGTTCAGTAATCCCAGGCATTTTTTATTTTGAGAGAGAAGTGTTTTTATTTCATATTTAAAAATAAATTATTTTAGGTAGCATCCATGGACTGATATTATACAAGAGACATTAAAAGGGCTTGATATTCAAGTTTAAGCCTTCTTAGATTTTCTACCGCTTTTTATATTATACTGACTCTTTTAATCACTGAGGGCTTATCAACTCATCCATTTGGCCATCTTAAAATTTTTTATAGGATCCATGACTATGTATTTGCCAAATTTTGAATGTCTCCGTTTTCTCCATGCTAGCATCGTTCAATTCACATTTGAATGTTTATTTTTCTACCAACCTAATTGTCTTAGTTTAATGACTTGTGTCTGGGTTTGCAGACACATTCCTTAACCCAGCGGAGGGCTGTACAGGGTCGAAGAAAGAGATTCGATCTGTTGTTAGCTGAGCACAAAAGCAAAACCAGGGAAAAGGATATGCTTCGACATCCGGATCATCATCAGCAAATGCCCCCTCTCAGGGAACCACATCCCTCACCTTCTAAAACTTCCCAGGAGCTGCACCAAAATTCTCATGGAGTTCCTCCTACAGAATCAAAGCCCTTAGTACCCAATAAACCCAAACCTCAGCCCCCCAGTCTTCCAAGGTGAGTAAAGTCTGCATCTCCTTGAGGTGCACAGATATTCTAGGGAGGAGGCTGACAGTTTGGTGGCAGGGGGGTGGGTATTGGATTTGTGGTTTTATTAGCCGTGTGAGGACTCTTATTGTATGTCTGATGACTGCTTTCTCAGCTTGGTCCTGGGGAGCTTTGTCTCCTAGTCGTCTTTCAGGATTTTTTGCTCGATGTTTCAAGGGGTAAATGCTGACCTGAGTCAGTGAAGGCCAGCAGCTCTATTTATATAGCAGTTACTCTGTATTGGTGATGCAGCAAAATGGGACACACTTGACGATGATCTCACGAGGTCCCTTCCAGGCCTAATGTTTATGAAATTTATGATTGGGAATCAAGCGGAAAGGGAAAATGAGTGCGAGAGAAGTCGACTAAATTTACAAAGGGTTCAGTTTAACTTCAGCATGTGAGAATCATCTCTGCATACAGTGTAGCCTAGGCCATGATCCTGTGAGATTATGATCAGTGTTTCATGTGTTTTGGAAAGGAGACAAGAAAGGTAGAGTAGGTAAGTGCATTATGCATCTCACCTAATGCAGATCATTATTTTTTGTCTCTTGCTTACATTAGAGAAGTCATTGGTTATGTGGATATCAGTTAAATGCACAAACCACTTTTGCAAGCAAGCGCTCTTTGGCCCCACTGTCTGCTGTGTAACCAGTCTCTTCAGGTCAGGTATGGGCAAAATGGTGAATCTGGCTGGTGGCCGGTGGCCGGACTCCATTTCCCAGCAGTCCCTTCCCATGTTGCTGCGACCGGTTTCCATGGAGACTCCAGAAGCAGTGGTGCCATGACAGCATGAGGCCAGGGTTTCCACGGACCCCAGCCCCAACAGCACTGGCAGGGCACGTGCGGCTGGGCAGGCAACTACTCCAGGGCTGGGGCTGGGATCTGGTAGTAGTGACAGCGTGGTCTGAAGCCAGGGCAGATCTGCTGCTTGCACGCCTCTGCCCAAGGAGCTCAGCTGTGCCCCAGCTCCGTGCTACACTGCCACCGCTGCAAGATCCCAGCCCCAGAGCAGCTCCCTGCGCAGCTGCTTGCTCTGCCAGTGCTGCTGGGGCTGATCTTCATGGAAACCCTGGCCCCGACAGCACCGTGGCTACTGGAGTCTCTGTGGAAACTGGCCAGAGCGACGTGAGCAGGGGCTGCTGGGAAATGGTCTGCCGCAGGCCCGATCTGGACTTTGCCCGCCCCTGCAGTAGGTGCATAATTGGTTAATTTAAAGTTAATAGCAGCCCTGAACTGACTGGGTCCCGGCAATTTCAAGGCTGAAATTTCGAGGCATAAGGTGCTCTTAGTAACAAAATAACAAGCTTTAATAAAGTGCAGAAGTTGAAAGGAAGCAGCTCTCTTTAATTAATGAGCATCATTTACTTTTAAGTGTGGACAAGGGAGTACCTTGGACTAGGGCCCAGCCTTTTTTCAGTCTGTAGGCTATACACCTAAACATGCACTATAGTAGGGATAAGAGACAGATTGGGAGTTGGGATGTTTTTATTTCTGCTTGTGCTCCTAAGTTGCTCTGTGACCTCAACAAACACCTTAATCTTTCTGTGCACCTTCCTTTCCCCAGCTGCGATGCAGGTACGATTATTCCTTGTTGGGGAACTGCGTATTATGTTTGTTTTATAAGAATGCTGTTAATGCGACAGAACAGAAAATCTGGGAAACCTTTTGGTACCTTTCTATGTTAGCAAGAACTCCAGGCCTAAATATAGCACCTATGAAGGAGGTCTTTGCTGTGTTAATACCTTCTAAATTACTTACCTCCATCCAGGCCTCCAGGCTGCCTAGCCCAGCATAGTGGGAATACCCCTAGTGACTCTCTGTCAGTCCACGAATCTCCACACCCTCCCTTGCCTGCAACTGAGCCAGCTTCTCGGTTATCCAGCGATGAGGGGGAATGTGATGAAAAAGAAGAGCCCGTCGAAAAACTGGATTGTCATTATTCAGGTCATCATCCTCAACCAGCTGCGGTAGGTCTCGAGAACAACCACTGCTCAATCTTTCATTGTTTCTGAATTCCTAAGCACATCACTAGGAGCTTTTAGTTGTGTTTTCTGTTGAGTTCACTAAAATGTCCTCATGCCCAAAGAAAATTTAGTTTGTTGCAAAGTTGGCCATGAGGGTTTAATCTGGTTTGGTAGATTTAGAGGCCCCTCCATTGTACCGTAAATTAAAGCTCTTCAAAGTACTGGAGACATAAATGGGACTTGTTCTAACTTTTTTTTTTAAATTAAAAGGTAGACACAGCACAGGGATGTGCCAGCACTGGTATTTTTAAAAATACTTCTAGATAATATCTCAACATTTTTAATTCTAGGTTCATGCACTATTTTTTGTGTGAAACTAAAAGCTGGTACAAGTGTCCTTATGCAACCAAATCACAGTAGAAGTATTTATTAAAATATTGGTGATTGTAATGTTTAGATCCTTTAATGGGATCATTAAATAATTAATATTAAATGACCGCTATAACCATTTCTTACTGTAGGCTAACAGCACTTTGTCTGTTTTGCTGTATGTAGCATAGAAAATGGATATGAGAGGTTCCTGTCCTACCCCAGTTGCCCCCTTTTTTTTTTTAAAACAGAAGAGAGTGACTATTAAACTGAAGCTGATGCTGAACACAGTTTAGCAGAATAGGAACCTCTCCTACAAACGCAATCTTCCCCCCCAAAACTCAGCCTCGTCTGGTCTCTTTCTCCCCAAGACCTGGCCAAAACCAGAGACCTTACTGCAGTCCCTGCAGCAAAATCAGGTGAGAGCAGATTCCAAGCAAATTGTCTTCCCACTCTGTTGAAGGAGGGAGCTCCCAGGTGAGTGCTCCTACCAACCAGAAAAGTGACAGCATCCCCTGCACAGAACATGGTTCCACACAGGCCAGGCAGTCAGCAAACTTGTTAGACGTTGGGGATCAAAGTCTTAATATATACTTCTGTCTAACTTATTTTAACTTCTACTATGTGACACTTGAGAACGTCCTTAAACTTATTCTCTGTGTACTTCCTGTTTTATTAACATTATTGATCTGAATTAAGAGCAGTAACTTATTCAGACGGTTCCTATTGAATTAGAAAATGTCAATGCCCATCTGTATTTTCAGTTTTGCACATTTGGTAGTCGGCAAATTGGAAGAGGTTATTATGTGTTTGACAAGCGATGGAATCACATTCGATGTGCGCTTAACTGCATGGTGGAGAAACATCTTAATTCACAGATGTGGAAGTAAGTAGAAATGGCAAATTTTTAAAATTTTCCTTGCTATTACAGAATCAGATAAAGCTTGAAAGGATTTTTTTTCCTCTTTCCTGTTGTGATAATTTATTAAAAGAGCTTTTCAGAATAAAAAGCAGAACCTCCACATCAGCTGTTCTCAATGAACACCTACCACTGGCACTGTAATGGGAGCAAAAGCCCCTTTTTATCTGTCACCTGGAAGGAGAAGAGGAGGGGTGAGCTGCACTCACCAGAAGAATATCTATATATATATATATATATATATATGTATTTTTTATTACTCCAGAAAACTGCATCCAAAGGCCCTCCGGCCTCTGTATTCTTGTGCTGAGCTGTGAATAGCTGGAACCTTTTTACAGCAATAAGATCGTTGTCTTCTTGTTGGATGTGGAGCTGAAATGTGGAACTGAGCAAATTTGCAAAATTACGGCAGTATCAAACCCTTAAAGTCATTCATCCTCAAATATTAAGGTTTGGTATGGACTGGTGATCAAATTAAAGCAAGCAAACAGCAGGCAGGGACTTTCCACCCACCAGCTGTTCCATGGTAACTGCAATTACCCCACTGTAAGTGAGAGCTAAACCAAGGCAGCTTTGCCCTGAGTGAAGCAGGGCTAAGCCCATTCCGATTCAGCTTTCCCTTACCTGCCCTTGTTAGTTTGCTTTAATTTGATCCTTTGTCTAGAGTCTTTGAATCTGTTCTTTCTAAATTACATCCAGGCATTGCTTCCTGCTACATCTCTAATTCTTACTATTTTGTTCATTTGTCAGACTGACTTTATTAATAATTTAAAATATTACGTTTGTTTGTAGCTTCCAGTTCAGTTTCCCTTTGCAGTATGTTTTTGTGGTACATACCAATTACTAGGTGATTTGAATTAATAATAGCTCCTTAAGTCTAATGGGTTATTTCCTGTCTGAGGCATTTCGAGGCAGAAAGGTCTTTCCAGTGGCATCCTGGGCAGAGTTGGAAAAGTCAAGCTGAGACCAGATGGGGGTAACTTTCTACAGGATTAGTCCACAAAGAACAGCTTCTCTGTCTGTGTGAAATGGTGCAGGATCCCAAAGGGGGTATAATTTTCCAGAAGTGCTCAGTGTTGCCCTCCGTCTGTCCCTGTTACACTGGTAAAGTTTTCACTCATTTGACTGAGCTGAGTGATGCCAATACTGAGCACACTGGAAAATCTGAGCTACAAGAATTAGGTAGTAATAGTTGGAGAACTCCAGTTAAAGGTATACTGTGTATTCATTTTGTACTCGGTCTGTCAAAGGCACAGGACTATTAATCTCTGCTTTACTTGTATGCAACATAATCAGTTTACCAAAATGTTTTAATATATATCGCCCTTGCCAAATGCTAATTATTCAAATGCAGCAAAACCTAAATACCCTGGTATCAAGGGAAGAAAGCCCCAAAACAAAAACCAATGGTCTTTATTTTCTTTCTCAGGAAAATTCCCCCAGCATCTGGTAACACAGCATCTGTTCGTGCCCCACATCGGACAAACTCTATGCCTACTTCACAGTATGTCAGTGTAACAGGTTTCCTTTTGCCCAGCACGGTTATGTCATCGCCAGCGTTGGTTTCTCCTTCCTGTGTGTCTCTTAACAGTAAATCGGTACCATCCCATGGAACTACACTAAATGCCAATCCTTCTACCTTGGGTGCAGTGGATCCTGTCTGCAGTATGCAATCAAGACAAGTGTCTTCGTCCCCTTCGACACCTACAGTGCTTTCCTCGATACCTTCACCTATGCCCAGCAAACCTCAGAAATTGAAATCCAGCAAGTCTTTTAAACCTAAGGAATCTTCTGCTAGCAGCGCCGACTGTAACAGCACCAGTAGCAACAGTAGCAGCGGCGGCTCAGGAAAGAAACGTAAAAACAGCTCCGCACTGCTAGCACCTTCTTCTCATTCCACAGAGTCCTTTAGGAAAAACTGTGTGGTTAACTCTGGAAACTCTGGGACCTCTTATCATTCGTCTGTGACATCTTCGTCCCATAGCGTCGGCCTCAATTGCATGACGAGTAAAGCTAACTCGGTTAGTCTCAAACATGACCAGTCAGGGAGGGGCCCTCCTACCGGAAGCCCTGCAGAATCAATTAAAAGAATGAGTGTGATGATGAACAGCAGTGACTCCACTCTTTCCTTAGGGCCATTTGTTCACCAGTCCAGCGAACTGACTGTCAATTCACACAGCGGTTTTTCACATTCGCATACTTCCCTAGATAAATTCATAGGAAAGAAAAGAAAGTGCTCACCTGGTTCCAGCAGCATCAACAGCAGCAGCAAAGCAAACAAGGTTGCCAAATTGCCCCCGGTGAACAACGTTCATGCAAAACACACCGGTGCAATCGCAGGGACACAAGGGCTGATGAACAATTCACTTCTTCATCAGGTATGAAACTATATGGATGATGTTTCCCTCAGTTAAGGAAAGAGGTTAGCTCTAGGATCTGCAGACTCGCACTAGCATCTGCAGGCTGTCGTTGGTGACCTCTTGCTTCCAGTTAGCTTGACACCCTTTCACTAAAGGGGGGACATGCAGTTTCTTATTAGAGTTTCATAATTTTAAATGTTTTTCACAGTGAATTTATTTTCATGGTTGATCTGTTTTCTCGAAGTGTGGCTTTACTCTGACAAGTAATGTTAGAAAAAAATAACACCTTGGATTCCTCAGGTATTGCATCAGTCATTCCCAGGTGAAATCCACTCAGCCGTTTAGTAATACTTTTTTCTGAGTGCCAGCCCTGTAAACTGAGTTGAGCATATTTAAAACCAAGAAATGCTGTTGGGTTCATTCTGGGTGCATCTACACGTGTGCTTTACTGCAGAGCTGACATATTAGCTCCGCAATAAAGCATCACTGTCTACACGTGCGCCTGTATTAGGGCACAGTAAATTAACTAACTGCTGGTGGATAGTACTGTCTGGGATAAGTACTGTCCTACAGCAGAATAATTGCATGTGCCAAAACGGATGTGTAGATGGTGACTGGGGCTAGTGAAAGCACAAACAAGGGTGCTACAGTAGCGGGGGCTGCGTGCTGGCTAGCCCCGCTCTGGAAGCACCCTCATGTCCCAGCCAGCTCCTCTGCAGCATGTTGAACCGTGGCGGAGCAGCTCTGGGCTGGCAGGCTGGCTCCCCTGGCTCCCTGCCAGCCTGGGGCTGCACTGCATCGGTTCGACATGCTGTGGTCTTGGGCACACATGTAAATGCTGCACCCGGGAGAAATAAACTTTAGCATAAACTGTGCCACAGTTTATTGGTACATGCTGACTGCACATATGTAGATGCACCCTCTGTCTTCCGGAACAAATAGCATGCTATAAATGTGAACCTAGTTAATGGTGCTGATTCGAACAGATGAGTTAAATACAGCTCCTCTCCTAGAGCTCTGTAGATTACATGTCTAACACGAGCAAAGCCTCAGTCAATAGAAGGAGCAGAAATGATGGGGAATACCACGAAGAGAGCAGGTCTCATGAGTATGCTGCCACTTTTGCAGTTACTTCCTAAAACAGAACTAATATACTGGTAAACACTACTTTGCCAGACATAATAGGATCTTGAGAAGAAAAATTGGAAAATAATTGAGGAAAAATACGGTATGGCTGTTTTAACAAAAATATGGGAAGTGGGCTGGAAGATCGCTTGAAGGAAAAGAAACTAGAGGAATAAAAAAAAGGAGATAGAAATGGAGAAGATTTATCTCCCTGCCAGCATAAGGTTATTGCCCCTAGTATGTTTTATGGCATATTGAAATATTGAGGAAGTTCTCTTAAGTTTCCTCCAGTACTAAACACACTTCTGTTCATTTTTTTTTTGGCCTTACTTTGGAAGCTCATAAAACTGAAGTGATGGTAGCTCAGTGAAGTTTATTTTAGAAAGATCTCTGAATTCTCACTTGCTTCCAGAAGAACAGATTTGTCTTTCCTGTTGTACACTGGCAAGCATACTTACCAGAGAGCAGGAAGAAACTCTCATCCATGGATATTTAGCTGAGCTCTCACTGTTGCAGAGGCCTTGTTTTTTGCCTTTTCCTGACCGTTTTAATTTTGGCCATACACTGTAAATGGGGGAAGGTGCTTTACTTTCAGTCGCATTTGGTGTTTATGGGGGTTTGGAGTAGCACGCCGATTCTCCCCTGAGAAGAGCTCTAGAAGATGGTAGCTGTAGAGTCCTGGATGCAGATGAATAGACTTAGATGCTAGTGATGCCATGTGGTTCCTTGTCCTTATCCTAGATATGGGCTCTCATTGTCCAGGAAGGTCCTACAAGCCGTATCTTTAACTCCTTCCATTGCACTTGGCTTGCTGACTCATTTGTCTTTTTTATTTGCTTATTTGAAAGCCAAAGGCACGTCCCTGATAGCTGAATATGCCATGGTGAGAAAAGAACTGGACACTTTTCACTACAAGCAAAACCTCCATCTGGAATTCTGGACTCCAAGATGCCTTTGAGTTATCCCAGCTTCCCATTGTCCTCAGGTGTGGAAATCTACTGGACTGTCATTCAAACAAGGAATTTCCCTGAAGCCATGTCTGTAGCAGTGAATATATTATAAACGGACACTGGATGAAGTTCGGCCACATAATTGCTCTTATCAGTGTTAATGGTGGTCTGGACTGCTTGCTACAAATCTGAGATTTTCCTTATGGGAGTACATCATCTTGCCACTATTTAACATGGATTGGCTGGGCAAAAGAATGTGTGGGGAAAACCATTACTGTGGACTTTTTTAAACTGATGGTGTCTTCTGTCGGTTGTCAGCCACCAGAGACGCTATCGACTGAAAGGACCCCTTGAGAAGGGGGCACAGCGTGTTAGGCACAATGAAAAGAAGCCCTCAAGAAGGGAATACGGCTTTAGTGTTTTTATAGCAATGTTCCTTTAATGGAAAACAAAAATAGCACAATTCAAAAACAAATAACTAGTCTGCGTTTTGCCCAGCCTTTTGCAAGTAATTTGGGATAAGAAGCTATCAGGAGTTTTAAGAACTTGTTTGAGGCCATCGGTCAAAAGCAAGTATAGAAAAAATAAAAGTTGTACTTGCATGGTACAAAAGCAATTTTCAGTTACTTTGAATAAGATTTGATGGCGAAAGAAAGTAAACATGAATTACTTTTGCTGAAGGAGATCCAAATACACAAATATCAAATCGGCAAAGGCAAATAACCTATAAAACAATGCCCAAAGAACATATTTCTTGACCTATACTGTACACCCCGGGCCTTTTGTTGTTTTAAAAGAGAGCTATATCAAATGAATTAGGTTGGTATTGTTCTTCAGCCTGTAAAAGTAGCCCTTTTAAAACTGAATATTTAAATATTTTCTGAAAGAATTTCCATTAGTTTCTGCCTTGTTCACGTAACCAAACCATTAACACTTGTTATGCTTTCAGCCACCCCCAATGCCATTTTTCAGGATGCTGCACTAGATGCTGGCTGGTTTAACAACCGAGTTCAGCTTCAAGTGAACCTGTATGCATTCCTGGCATCTTTCCATACATGCAAATGTTTGATGAATAAAGGAGGCTTTACTGTTTTATATAGTCCAGTCAGTTTTTATGAGCTATTTTATCTTGCTTCAAAACACCTCGCAGTGAAATCCTTTTAAAGGGCTTAGCATTATGATAATTTTAATTGATCTGGATATTTTTCATTTTAAGATGAGTTAATTTGAAACTTCACCTGGAATTCTATTAAGTGACAAAGTGGAGGAAACAAATTATAAACCAAGAATATCCTCTTCTGCCTTAAAGGGGCACCAGCTATTGCTGAGACCAGACAATCTGAGCCTAGCAAATTGTTCACAAAGCCCAGCCTTCTCCCCGTTACAGTGGCACATAATACATCAGGGATTTTAAAGCCACTAAAAGTAGCAGTTGCCTGGTTGTTTACCTGTTAATGTCTTCAGGCCAAGATGAACTTGCTACAGAATTATTATACAGCAAAACAACAAGAAGCCTCTATGCAGACGCTTTAGCTTTGAGTTTATATAAAAGATCGTATTTAAAGAGCAAAGCAAAGTACTTTAGACCGTTATTATGCAAACATAAAAATAACTCTGTGTCAGGAACAAAGAATTAACGCTTAATTAAGGTACCCAACTTGAAAGGATGGTTTAAAATGGAGATTGGTTTACTTTTAAAAGAACCAAAGCAATATGCTCGTTTGACAAAGAGCAAGGGAAATATGTTGGATCTTGCACATTCAGAGTGAAATCACAGTCCCAATGGGGCCAGAATTTTGGCCCTGTGTGTTTTCAGTCACAAGTGCAATTTGGTCTTGATCAACTAAACACGTTAAAAAAAAAAAACAGCGGAAATTTCCATTAACGAACCTTAGCAACTTTCAGTGATTAAACTTTTTTAGGTTCTGAAAGGCTCTGTCAATCTGAAAGCATAATGGCAAATCGGAGCTGGTTCAAGAACACCCAGACGTTCAAAGAAGTTAGTACTTCGCCCGCGTGCTTTGCTTGGAGCCATTTTGTAACGCTGTCTGCATTATGGCTCTGGTGGTAAGCTCTTGGGAATAAAAACCAGGACGTCTCAAATTCTGTCAGCTCTCGAGCACAGACCTACTTAAATGTTACGTTTTAGTTCTTGGGTATAAGCAGAACACTGTTCCTGAAGCTTTTATTGTCTCATCGTTCTTACTGTAAATAATTAAGGAAGCTTAAAATTAATTTTCCTTGCAAAATTGGATTTGCAGTGGCTGGGTTGTTTCTAGACAGATTTTGGTATTAATTTAAGAGATGCGATTTTTATAGTCTTTCCAACTTCTCGTTACGACTCCTGCAGTTTTCTTAACCTAAAAAATTGCTGCAATGATGAACAAAGAATTATACAAAAAAGAAAAAAAAACGTACTTTTGTATCTTTATTTTGGAATTTCTTGTTCTATTATAAATATTGAAGTATCCCTATTTCAGAAGACATATTTTGTTAATTGATTGTACATATTTAAATATGTATTTTTGCACAGGTCTTTTTTTCTTATATCCAGTTTTGGTACAGTTGAGATCATCTAGTATTTATTTATTAATTAATTAAAGAAAAGCAAATACCTTTTTTATAATTTGAAGTGGTTCACTGCCAAGCCAATAGTAACATGCCTACTTTGCTACTTAAGGGATGCCTCTGTTTTGTGAAAGTTGTGTCCCTTTTCATGTCTTGGGAGTGGATACCTATAACCTAAAGGCCAGCGCCTGCAGTCCGATTTGTGGAAGAGCCTGATTGCAGGGCGAGGCTTGAACGGTCTAGCTGGCATTGCTTATCAGCTGCCTGATTCCCAGAAGACTACATTTAGTTAAGTGACACACTGCTTCTCTTTTTTTAGTATTTGTGTGCGTGTGTGTGTGCGTGCGCATTTGTGTGGGTCTCGTGGTTTTAACTAATGGAAAAACTGAAAGTGCCTGATATAACTAGTTTTATGCTTGGACTGTTTAGACAGCTTCTCCTTAAAAGACTTGAATGTTCAGTTGAAACTTTTGGAGCTTGCTTTTTCCACCTACCTATTATTTCCAAAACTTTGATTAGAAGGGGTTCATAACAAACAAAGAAAAAAACCAACAAAGAGAAAAGATCAATGCTGGCAAGTTTTGTAAAGCATTTTGAATAGAATAATTTGTGTTGAAACAATCCTGTTGATAATGCATCTTACAATAATGCCAAGGGTTAGAAAATTTTTTTGCAATCAGCTATGTACGCAACTGTCTCTTTTTGGTTATTCTTTCATTAAGTACACCATTTCAAAGGAAAAAAAAGAGAGAAACAGCAAATGTTCAGAATATTTTGTATTCCAGGGGAAAAAAATTAAAAAAAACAAACCCAAAAAAACCAAGTAAGTACCTCTTGAAATATTAAAAAAAAAAAACAAAACAAAAAAACAAAAAACGTGATTTCCAAATGTCATTTCTAAGGCAGTTGTCTTCCCGTGAGAGTTCTCTTGCCAAGGAATCTCTTGTCTTTCACTCGTTCTGTCCTGGGAGAGGGAATTGGGCTTGAGAAGATTCTTAACGTTTCACTGTTTAGCAGAAAATAATCATTTTTACATTTTGTGCGAAACATTTTACGTTTTAAAGGTGATAATTTAAAATAAATAAATAAATGAGCACTACATAATGTCAATGTGAATGTAGGCCTCGGAAGCGTCCGGCTCAGGCTGGAGCCTGGTTCTAAAAGCAATCTCCTGTGTAAAAGGTGTGAATAGTTTGATAATTTGTACACATAATCAAGAGCATCTGATCAGCTGAACTTTGCATCGGCTGCTGTATAGTACATGAACAAATGTCATGGGATAGAAAAATTACTTTGGATATTTAAAAGAAAAATAAATATATAGTCTATTTGTTTTGTAACAAGTTTCTGTAAATAAAATAATTTATACTATTTATAAGAAAAAGTTGTGCTTTGCTTCATGAAAAAGATTAGTTTGTTGAACAAACAGATGTTACTAAACAGGGCAATAAAATTAGGTCTTTTCAACAAACGAGGTTGGCTGCATGAAATACATGATACCTTTCTGCGTCAGTATACAAGAATTCAGCCCTGAAGGAAAGCAGCATCCCTCGTGGTGCCTCAGTGCCGAGATTTGGTAAGGGCTGGTCCTGTGTCTAGCGTTCCTTTGGACGATGGGATGAGTACGGCTAGGAAAAGCGGATCCTTGTATCACAGAGGCTTTTTCTTTTTGGGCATCTGCCTCAGAGTTGTGTAAAACCACTCTACCATAAAGCAACCAAAACAGGTTATGCTGGATTATAGGGGAAGGGCTCTGACATGCAGCGTTGTTGCAACCAGTGCTTCCATCCTTTCAAAACATCTTTCTGTACTTTTTGCTGCAGAAGAGCCAAGAATGTGGGCTTGCCCACGTTGATAACTCACTGCTGTACATCAGGCACGCCACATTACGGGGCTGTTACAAACACCGCTGCTCCTAAAGCATCCATCAGCAGGCATGGCCCCTGGAATAGGACCTGGTCCTTCCTTCTCTGTCACAGCTGCCGTGGATGTGCATGAGAATTGTCTCGGTGAGTAGCTCAGATCACCCTTTATGTCTAAACGAATCCCCAGCGCTGCAGGCCACTCTGGGTGGCGGTCTTCCTGTTTGTAAGACTGGGCTTTTACTTTTAGCAGAAGTCTCTAGTCACATAGGGCATCACTTGTGCCTTTGTAATGCAGAGGAGACTGTTTTTGACTTTTCTCTTCAAAGGTGTCGGGAATGCAAGGTTTAGCTGTGGCAGGTGCTTTCAGCATGGAGTCTTTCCTAACAGTTTCTTCTCACAGTTCTGCCTTGTGGAGATCTCTGTAATAAAGGATGAAGCTCTTCATTCAGGTAAAACAGGATTTTTATCCTTCTCTGAGATTTAAACCACTTTTGGTTAATAACCAAATTTATGTTGCATCTAATGGAAAGATTAAAATGATCTGCCAAGCCACAGGACAGGTGACGTTCCCGGGTTTATGATGGCACTTCATTGTCAGTAGCTGGTGTCTTCGTTTTCAGACTGCCCGTCACAATTACCTCAATTACAATCCAGCCCAAGCTTCAGATTTGTAGGGATTTAAACTATCATGGATTGAGTTGATTAGCAAGGGGTGGCCCTTGTGCAATTGCAAGGGCCAAATTTTATTTTAAATCCCTGTCGGTACACCAAGGAATGAATGCTAAGGCTACCTGTTCTCAATCTGCAGTGGATCTCCCAGTGAGGGCAGCAGGTTAGATCTGGTGTACGACATGACCACTGTTATTTAGCATTGTCCTGTACCATTTTCAGGTCATTCAGCAGTGCTTAATGAGATAATGCATATACCGCTAGCATCCACCACTGACACTAACCTTTCTCTTCCCTCCCCATTTTCCTTCTTGTTCACCTTTCCCTCTTTTGTGTGCGTTTCTTCTGTTGTTCCTTCTGCATTTCCTTTCCCACAGCAAAGCCCAATTTCCGCTTCATTCTGTATGTTAAATGAAATAATTCCATTTTGGTGCATGGGAGTCAGGGGCATTCGTGCTCTGAGCCGTTTGTTTGAGCCTGTCTGCAAATTCAGGCAGGAAGCGCTGCTGGAAATCCACTTGTCACAGCCAGAAGGTCTTCGCCTGTTGTTTCGAAGTGTAGAAGCATCCTTCATCCTGGATGACAATGGCAGGTGAATGGTGAGATCTGAAGTCTGCACGGTGCATATACATTCTTGATGTCTGCATCCTTAAGGAGCCTAAACACTCTCAATGCAAGTAGGGAGCCTGCTTCTCTGTAGGTTAGGAACTGCCTAGAGAGCCGTCCAGCAGCCATCCAACACTGTGCCACCTCTCACCAGGCACTGAAGAGGATATAGCTTCCTAAGGTGCCTTAGCTTCTCCCTGCATCTTGGTAAGGGACAGCAGAAGAGGTTGCAAGGAACTTGCATGATAGAGCTTTATAGGCTCCAGTGCCTAAAACATGTCAAGTGAAACCCACCTGACACTGACCTTCCTGAGACCCATGAAGAGTGGCTTGTCTCCTACCACCGCTTGGAAGAGCTCAACTCAGAGGCCTTGTGTGGCAGAAAAAAACTGAGCCAAACATTTGTGATGGCAAACAACCTATAAAAAGGGCATAGTAGCTAGTTCTACTAGTAATATTACGCAATATTATCATTCCTGTACAGAATTCCTATGACTTTGGGGCAAAGGTTATGATGTGTTAGTAGACCCCTCCCTGCTGAGTACATTTCTTTTGGGTGGATTCAGATTCAGCAGATACAAGCCTTCCTGCTTGTGTTGGCTCCCAAAGAGGCCAATAGAACTGAGTTTTAGTTGTAATTATTCCACCAGTTATTTATTACAATCATCCTGCTGCAATAAATGATTGAACACACGTGACTGCACCATCCGCATCTTGGCTCTAATTTGCCCGAGTGCTGTTCCTGGGTCTTGGGTTTGCTGCTTACAGTTAGGTTTTTGATTCACCACTGATAAATACCCTGGATTTTCATTGCAAAAGAACTGGTGGGTGGGATCCTATCTCAAGTCATCATAGGAGTTGAAAACTAGCATGGGAATGGCAGATAGAGATGAAGTGAAATAGAACAGCCAGGGCAAAAATGTGTGGACTGGGGCAAAGCCTGGTCAAAGCTTCAGCCACAAGTTCTGATGAGGAGCTACATGATTCCTCCTCACCCTGAGCTCAGTTCTCTACTGCGTCCTTTCCTGCCGCCCTATTTCCAGTAACAGTGATTTTTTTTTTTCCTGCCCTGCACTCAGGGTTAGGATGGTGATAAGCAAGGGAGCATTCAAGTACTGAAGACTGCCTTGCGCCTTGCTGTGGGGACTCATGGTGTTTCATCTGGGCCTATCTAGATGAAATAGATAAGCTAGGCTTGTTAATTATATTCACAACTGGTGCTAAATTACAGAGCCTCACTAACTTCACGGAGAGAAGCCCCACTCAGGTATGTCAAGGGATGTCCATGCACAGGCCAGATTTTAAGCATTGCACAGGAGAGCTTTAATGACCAATGCTAAATCCCACATCCCTCCTTCCTTCCTCTCTCCATCTTGCCTGTAGTTTTAACGGCCATAGGAGCCAGTCATGTGTTGCCCTCTACTATGTTCCGTATTGTGTGCAGCATCCCGTCTTTCCTGCCTTCTTCCAAGCACAAGGAAAGAGGCTTTCCTCAGTGTGGACCAAAGTGGGAAGGCCAGGTGCTTCCAGGCACAGACTTGCAAATTGGCATGTTGTCTTGGAGGCTGTAGATGCATTTTGAGCTGAATGCAAACCAGGATTGGGAATTGTGACAAGTAGGTAAGCGCTGTTCTCCTCCACTGTGGTTGAACAGGTCTTGGCTGGAGAGTGGGTAGGTAGGTTACAGCCTGTCAATGTGGTCAAACCTCATGTGGTCCTGGCTGGAGAAAGCACATTGAGGGCCATGTTGGGACTGAGTTAACAAAAGAACAGGTGCCACTTGGCTGCTGACTGCAAGCCTCTGGAGAGGTATTAAAAGCAAGGAGAAGGAGAAAAGGCACAGGGTGCTGCCTACACTGAAGGATGTAAAGCAAAGCTCAGCATGGCAACAGACAGAGCAGGAAGCAGATGAAGGGATTGCAGTGGCACTTGGGAAGGGCATGGACTGATTTCTGCCACGCCTGCCAAGAAGGCTCGCCCCACACCCCAGCCTCCCTACTGCCAGAAATCCTCTGCAGTGCCCATGACACATTTGCTCTCTGGGGAAAGGGAAAGCCCAAGCTTTCCCACTGGCTGTTTGAAAGACTTGTCTAGCAACTTTTATTTTTCTCTTGCAGGTGAACAGCGTAACGCACTGTTGCTCTCGGAATCTAGGCAGCTGTGGCTTTCTAAGGCAATGCACTTGGCCAGGATTTCTCAACGCCACCTGTGTCAGCAACCCTTTGGTATAGTTGAAAGCCTCAAGATGTCCTGAAAGCTTTAAATCAGCCAGGTACGGACTGTTTCGGCTCTTGCCACAGGCATTGGATTAGGTCACTAGGTCTTCTGCTGAGGAAAACAAATGAACAAGGGTTGGGGATCTTTAGCGAGGGAAGGGAGAATTAGAGACAGAATGTACTTGTCTCTAGTGCGATTATGTTTGAGTGGATATTGCTATCAAGGCACCTTGCAGGAGTGAATTATCCCAGGCCGTTGGAGACAGAATTATTTTTGGGAAGGTGTGAGCGTATTTAGGCTGTGAACACTCAGCAGCGCTATTTCACAGAGACATGCCAGGCTGCCCTGTGTTCTGACAAGTTTTTGCTGTATTGCATGTTGTTTGCTTTCACTTTTGGAAAGAACAAAAAATCAAGAGCAGTTGAGTCTTCACATACAGCCTTTATCATGCATTAGGAATCTTG